TGCCTCATATTCTTGAGAATCTAAAGAGAGAGGTTATATTATTCTATTTTTAAATGTTGCTCTCACTCTCTAAAACTCTTTGTTGCCATTCTCATTAACACTCAATTTCAGTTCTTTCAACTATTTATTGTTTTTTTAGTTCTTTTCAACATACTTTAACTAAACCAAGCTATTGCCCTCCTTATATTCAGTGTCAATTCTAATGCCATCATCAAATTTCTAACAAATGCTTAGAGGTTAAAGGTGGTTTGAGGCATGAATAGAATCACTGGCCATACTTTTCCAGACACATCCTTCTGGGTATTTCTGTCCTGAATGTTTGGCCCCAATTTTGTCATTGATGTCACTTCCCAACATTATATCCCATCTTGTCACTTTCTGATCACTTGATCACAATGTAGATCCTTGGCTTAACAATCACAGAAACTAAATAACAAAATTCTATAATTTCATTTCTCATTTTTCTCAACTCTTTAAAATTACTCAACAATTTTTACATTATACCATTAGAAATGTGTGTGTCCATATGTGTATTTACTTTTGACATGAAAATAAAGTAAGAAAACTATGAAAAAAATTGAAATGCAGTGCATTTTTATAGCCATATCTGTGATTATAGCAGGAAGTATGAGATTATGCATCTTCATATTAAAATGTAGCTTCATGGCAAATGCTGAAATATTTCTACAATGAACATTGAATATTTGCAATAATTTTATAGATGTGCACAACAGAAGAAATGTGGAAATAGAAATGTGGGTGAGGAAATAAGTAATATGAGTAACTTAATATCATAATTATTTAGTGAAGATAAATCATTGCTATTCTATAAAGTATAGAACTGCTTATTTCTTGAAATATAAAATTATCATTCTAAATATTGTTTTTTTATTTTTTTAATCATTATTGAGTTTATTGGTACTTTTTAGGTATACAGTACAGTTACATTCATCATTGGGATCCTGTACCGTTACATGACAGGTCTTGGTTCTCATTTTTTCCCCATTCTACTGCCTCCTTCACCCCCTCCTCCCTTTCCTATTTACAAAAACTTTGTTTCCGTATTTTCATTCTAAATATTATAACAGTGATGCTATTTTCTTTTTGTTTTATCTGCAAATGTTAAAAATCTGGCTTTTCTCACCTTAATAATATTTCCCAGTTACACCTACCTATGCATTAAATGTACTTCAGCTTCTCACTTAAAAGAAAAAAATAACACGTTTTTGTCCTTGCTCTATTAGAAATGCTTTAAATATGCTGGCTATGAGAGAAAGTGATGTCAACATTAAAAATAATTACTTTATTATAATTGAGGAATTTCATGTTTTTTTATTAAATTAAATACCAATTAATTATTAAAATGTATGTTACCCTGAAAATATATATACTTCACCACAGTGATAAGGAGCTGTGCTTCTCTAGAATCTAAACAGAGTTTTCTTTATACTCTACTCTTCCTTTGATCAGATTCATTGCCATTGTGCTACTTGGAATAAATTTCAGGATGACCTCTTCAAGAAAAGACGGGATACACATATTCTCTAACATTGCAGTAATCAGGAACAGCCAGGGATTTATTTAGCTCAGTGGTTCCACCACCTGCCTCCCAAGTGCAAGGACCCAAATTGGATCCCCAGTACAAAACAAAAACAAAAACAAACAAACAAACAAAAAAATCAGGAACAACAAAAATACTCAGCTCCGGCGTCTATGATATACTAATGAAAACTTCTATGTCAGAATTACTGATTTCAGATAATTCAAGCTTTAGGAAGTATTTTGAAGTTTTCCTAAATCTATCTCCACTGATGATGACTGGTAGAGATGCTTTTAAGGGCTAAAAAAAAAAAAGAAGAAAGAAGCTGTGTACTGACAAATTGTGTATTGTCATCCACTGCACAGGTCTTCCATTTTCTTTTCCTAAGTCTGCCTTAAGGCAATTACTATTACAGTAAAGTAGCCCTAGTAATTTATGAGCATTACTCATTCATACTGAGGGTAGGAAGATAAGGTAAATCTGAATATTCTTGAAATCACTACATTTCCAATTGTTGTGCTGCTATCAAAGAAATGTTCATTTAAGGATTTTTTATTTCTACTCTCTGTTATTCTAAGGAAATGCTAGAGTTAGAGACTTGCTGTTTTTCCAAGTGGTCAAAGATGGCAAGGCACCATCACTTACAGGCAATTTGGACTTCATTACAAATTAATGAAGTGATAATTGCTCTGTGGAACTATTTATGTGCAAAGCATCCTGGGTTGTTTGCATTTTCTTGCAATTTATACCTCTGCATTCAAAGACTTGTGATAGCTTGCCAAAGTTAAGCTACAATAAGACCTCCATAATTAAAATCATATTTTACATCAAATTATGAAAATCTCTACATAATATGCTCTCTTTGATTCCTAGTAAAATGATGTTAATAACAAAATGGATTTGCAAATGATTCATGAAAGTACATCCTTATAACTCATCTTTTTTATAAGGAAATCTTAACTTTAAAAATGTAAAGGCAAATGGCTTATTTTCAAACAACAGTGTCAGGTCCTAATTTTAAAATGATCATGTTCTCTGGAGTTTTTAATTATTTTATACTTGAAAATACCATTGTAGAGCCATTGTAAAGATACAACATGTGACTGAAACATATAATAATTGCTTAAATTTAAAATAATTGTTGCAGTAAAGGGAGCATTGCTACTAATCTTCCTCAAAGTACTGCCCCTTGCTTCAAACACACTTATTCTGCTGTTTTTGCCACTTTCTGAAGCAATTCTGAAAGTCTTCTTTCATGAATATCTTCACCATATATGATAAAAGTACTAAGAATGTTGCTGCTATGTACCATCCAATTGATAGGCAGAACTGTAAGTGAGAAATTTAAGGATGCCAGTACCTCCTCTCCAGTACTGGGAGAGTTCTGGTTTTTCCCCAAGGTCATACCTCCTAACAGAGACAATTTCACATAGCAATGACTTTAACACCACAGATTTTGGAATACCAACACTTCTTTTTATTCATTTTGTTTGGTAAATTAGTAGATAAGTTAGGGAGAATTAGAAAAATTTAAGTGTAGTTCTCACCCCACTGAAGTCCACATATTATTTTTGATAATTCCAGAATGCTGAGATAAATAAATTATTTTTCCTAAAGAAGACTAAGAGTCAAGTAAATGCTGTGTTTCTTTACTTGTGGTTATTACTGCCAATTTAATACATTAATGCTTTATCTTATTTTCTGTTTAGAACTTATAGATTAAAATTTCTATGTGACTTTGACAATAAAAATAGATAAATCACCAACATATTTTAAATGCTGTGCATTTAGTTTAAAGTGTTTAAAATTTGTTTTGTTGGTAGAAATAGTGGAGAAAAATTTAGAAGCATATTTATTGTAGACTTTTGAATAAATTTATGTACAAAATAAAACACTCTCTAGTGAGAATTTTATATTTCTTTCTCTATGAATATTTCATGTTTTATTCATTTCCCAAAAGGTGTTTTGTGCTGTTTACTAGGACAGAAATAAGAGGCTAAAATTTAGCAATTTATTAAATAAACCTAAACTACCTTTCCCACATTTTGTAATTAAATTTACAAATGAATAAATATAAATTGTTCCTAGAAATTTCCCCAAGAACAGAAGCATTCTAGAAAAAGCCTGAAACCAAAAACATCATAGCTCTGATAGCTCTAAGACGTTAACCCGGAACTCTGAGAGTAAAGGACAGAAGATCCAACACAACTCTATAAAGCAGTAGAGGAATTCACATTGCCAAGAACACAGACCATGTATAAGTGAAAGATGTAATTACTAATCTCCATTCAAAGATTTACAAAAATTAACACACATACATTGGGACAAGTTTGTGAAAAAATGCAAATGCCAAATTAAGAGATTAAAAGTTTTTGAATAGGTAAAATGGGACGAGAGGCAGAGAAGACTTTGAGTTCACAATGTGGCAAAGGTATTTTTCTGGAAGCAAAATTGGCCATGCTGGAAAGAAACTGTAGACACAAGGATGACAGTTGGAAACAGCTGGTATGGAATAGTTTTATGATTATAAGTAATATAATCAATATGATGTTAAATTGAAATTTCAAAATCTTTTCTAAGTATAAGAAAACAAATATTGCTTTGCTAATCTAAGAAGGCTTGAAATTTTCAAGTTATTTGTAATGAAAAAATATTGTATTCATATAACCTCAACTAATGCAACAACAATAATAATAAAACACATATTTTATATTTCTATCTAAATTTAATATGGGTATAAAGTATAAAAATTAAAATGTACCCTACACTGTGTCTTCTACTTTATATGAATAACTCTTTAAATTTTTATTTTGGGGGAGAAATTTGGCATATTTATACGTTTATTTTAAATTTGCTTTCATAGTTCCCCAACACGGGTCAATGGAAATGAATTACGCACCTTAAAAAAAAACAGACAAAAAGATATGTGGTAAAGATAGGATTTAAATTCACTTCATTTTGCCATACATCAAGTTTACCAAAACTTGGACCATACTGAGAGAAGATTGATAAAGGTGAATTTAAGACAGTAGTATTTTTATACTGTTTTTATGCAAATGAACAAGCACAATAGATATACAACAAAACTGTAGTGTAGCATCATTGGAGTGAACTTCTTTCAGTGAATGTATTTGATCTTGGCATGTTTGCCTAGGCTCAGTCAATTGCTAAGTGACTTTTTCCTGAATATCCAACAAAAAGCAATGCAATTTGAGCATGGTCACCAAAATTATAACTTACTTTGTGTCAATGCATTCATAGAAACTTCTAAATGATAAAAGCTAAAAACAAGAATGCCATGGAGTTGTTCTGCGTCGCCCTTTAAAACCAATAACATTGAAGTTTCAGCTTATTTACTTTGTAGAATCTATGACACTTTTGATGCCTGCATCTTTTATTTATTATTTACTATGCTTCTCCCTTTAATTCTACCACTCTACCATTTTCTTTTTTTCTTCAGTGGGAAGAGATCAGTGGCGTTGATGAACATTACACACCCATCAGGACTTACCAGGTATGCAATGTCATGGATCATAGTCAAAATAATTGGCTGAGGACAAACTGGGTCCCCAGGAACTCAGCCCAGAAGATTTATGTGGAGCTCAAATTCACTCTACGGGACTGCAATAGTATTCCATTGGTTTTGGGAACTTGTAAGGAGACTTTTAACTTGTACTACATGGAATCTGATGATGATCATGGAGTCAAATTCCGAGAACATCTCTTTACAAAGATTGACACCATTGCAGCTGATGAAAGCTTCACTCAGATGGATCTTGGGGATCGTATTCTTAAACTCAACACTGAGATCAGAGAAGTAGGTCCTGTCAACAAAAAAGGATTTTATTTGGCTTTTCAAGATGTTGGTGCTTGTGTTGCCTTGGTATCTGTGAGAGTATACTTCAAAAAGTGCCCATTTACAGTGAAGAATCTGGCTATGTTTCCTGAAACAGTACCCATGGACTCCCAGTCCTTGGTGGAGGTTAGAGGTTCTTGTGTCAACAATTCTAAAGAGGAAGATCCTCCCAGGATGTACTGCAGTACAGAAGGAGAATGGCTTGTACCCATTGGCAAGTGCTCCTGTGTTGCTGGTTATGAAGAAAGAGGTTTCATGTGCCAAGGTAAGAAATGGTTTCCTATTTTCCTTACAGTGGTATTTCTTATTTGTCATTTGATCATAAGGGGAAAGGAAATGAGCTCAATTTTAGCTCACTTACAGTAAAATATGCCTCAAACTGACCAGAGTCTATGCCTTAAAATTTTCCCATTTAATATGTTGATTCATAGTTGATTGTAGAAATATTGTGATTGATTATGTGGTGGTAGGACTATTCCAATGAGGTGTCATATATGCTACTTTTTTCCTGCTTTTCAACCACTTATTGCAGTCTAACTCTGCTCCAACTGTAGGGGAAATAAATCTGTTTTTTTTTTTTGTTATTGTTGTTTGTTTCTTCCTTTGTTTTTAGGTAAAAGATAGAAACATCTTTTTTACTCAGCTAACCTAGTTATAATATAACTAGATATTGTGGTGACTATATTTTTGTTAATCTATATCATAACAATATTTACTTACTTGCTATAAATAAAGTCTTAAGAGGCATATGACTATTGAATAGGCATTACCTATTAAGTGCCATTGGAAAATTCCTTGATTTAGAAATCAAGAGCTGATAAATTATTGCTGTTTTATGTACTGTAGGTCAGCGATGTCAAACCTAAGGCACACGTTACTATTTTTCTTTTAAGACAAAAGATGTTAATGTATTAGCGCTTTTTGTGTCTGTAAATTAAAACCTCATTGATCAGGTTTAATTACAGTGTTGGCAAAAAATAGTAGGTTTTGGATTGCAGGTTGGGCACCAGTCTAAAAGATTCACCAACTATTGCAGGTGTAGCTATTCCAAATTCACTTTGGTCCATTATTTGGCCCATTTTACTACCCAGGACAACATTTATATCTCCCCTTAGTTGAAATGTGTATTTTATACTTCATATAGTAATAGAGAATCTGAACTTTGTCATCATATCATTTTCATATGAAGTTATATATATATATATATATATATATAACATGATAGACCAGATTATAATCTTATTTCATTTTAAAATTTGATATTTAACATGAGTCATGGTTTTAATGTCTTATATTCTGAAAGTATTTACAATTTAAATGTATAAGTAAATATATAAGAAAATTTTAGTCCATAATAGTTAGAATCTTGCACATTATAGTACCTTTCTTTGCTATTTCACTCTGTCAAGAGACTTTAGTTTGGTATTCTATTTCTAGGCATTTGGTAATCACTGTTCATAAGCTCATGTAGAAGAAATTATATATATATATATATCCTTGTAAATATATGAATACATCGTAGCATTTGCTCTTGATGAAAGGAAAAAGTAATAATGTGCCAGGCACAGGAGAAATATAGATGAATAAGTTATTGTATCTACCTTTCAGGAGTTCACAATCTTGTATGAAAGACAGATACATAAATGAATAATTTTCATGCAAGACAGGCTAATAAATCTTCTACTGGGGGTACAATGTGCCTTGCCACTGTAGTGGAAGAAGATTAATTTCAAAATTAATCATGGGAATTAATTAATTATGGGAAGATTTTTCATTCAAATTTTGTACTCATTTCTATTGTGCTTAAAAACTTCGGACTAGGAATAAAAGGCTAGATACGTCATGTAATTTATTCATCCCACAAGACAAAGTTTATAATTTGTTTATTAAATTATTATCTTAAAATCTCAAAGTGCATAGGAAACTCATGAGAGTGCTTTTTTATGGGTTTGTGCCACAGGGGTGTCTTAAATATTTAAAATGTATTGCTAGATCATTTTCTGACTTTCATAGTACAATACTCCAAATTATGTATGCTAATCTAGCAGATAATTGAGGTAAAATTCAGTACATTGAATGATGAGAATGTAACAATCTCTATTTGATAGCAAAAAAAACCTTATTGATGAAAATGTTTTGTACTCAACAATTAATATATTGATTTTAGAATAATAAGCATAATATAGAAAATTAAAACAAATTAAACTTTATATAGGAATACAATTCTAATCATGGAATTATACTTTTAGTGCTTATAATGTATAATTGCATAGCAATCCACTTTTCTTTGTTTTTGTTTTTTTGAGATAGGGTCTCACTATGTAGTTGAGACTGTCCTGGAATTCACTATGTAGCCCAAGCTGGTCTCGAACCCACAGCGATCCTCCTGCCTCAGCCTCCAGAGTGCTGGAATTAAAGGCATGTGCCACCATGCCCTGCAGCAATCCACTTTTCTTATTATGAATTATTAGAAAATATAGTTTGACTACATATTTGATAGTCAATTTTTAATGAGTCCATAAAATATGCCCAGTCTTATACAGAACACTAGAAAAAGAATGATGCATATAATCAGGGCTAAATTTGTTTGGTTTATAGTTTCAATGTGTGTGTGTGTGTGTGTGTGTGTGTGTGTGTGTGTGTGTGTGTGTGTGTGTGTGTTTAGACACGGTCTCTCTGTGTGCTCTGTGTGTGTGTGTGTGTAATATTTTTGTCTCAGGATGTAAAGGAATATAATTTATTTATTTATTTATTTTGGTACCAGCGATAGAACTCAGTACCTTGTTCTTGCAAGACAGGCAGTGGAAATACTGAGCTAAATCCCCGGCTGTTAAATAAATTTTTAAGTGATTTATTAAACAGAGCTAGGTCAGTATGAATTTAAGCTGAAATACAAACACTGATGTTCTTGGGGGAAAAGGTATTAGTATAGAAGAAAACAAGTCATGGAAAATTAAAATTTTCTGCAATAAAATGTTTTATTATATTTCCTTTTCCTTTTTTTTGTTTTGATTTGTTTTATTAATATTTAGTTAAGGGAGGGAGGACACAGGAAAGCTAAGAGTAGAAAACGGTGCACCTTTATCTTTCAATAACTGTTTAGAATGAGGAAATAAGAGAGGGTGGAAAAGAAATACTGGCTCCTAAAGAGTTATGCTGGAATTCATGACTATCAAAGTAGAAACACAGAAAAACTCAACTCCAATAAAGTAAAAAAATACTTATTACAGTAAATATGGTAAAATAGAAATACATATAAAATATAACTACATCAGCTTAACTGATAATGTGAAATTTACTAAGAAATGTAATCTATCTTTTTTTTTTTTTTTTTTTACCCGGGATCAAATTTGGAACCTTGCGCTTGTGAGGCAGTCGGTGGCACCACTGAGCTAAATCCCCGGCGGCACTCTCATTTTTTAAGTATGGCTTTTGTTTGAGCCACTTATCACTCATATTTAACAAAATAGGAGGAAAATGTGGTATTGCTTTTAAGTTATCGTATATGTAGCTTAGACCTTACATGGACTATGCCTCTGGACTCCGGGATCACTTGCTTGAGGACAGTGTGGTCAACAGCGGACTGAGTTGGTTTTTATGGACTGTCAATGAACTTCCTTTAAAAAAAGAGAGTATTAAAAGATGAGGTGAAAGGGAGGGAAGGGGAGTGGGAAAAAAATAAGAGCCAAGATATATCATGTAAGGGTACAATGATGAATGTGATCATAATGTACCATAAAGTTCATTTAAAAATTACAAAGTAAATTAGTGAGCCTAAATCGCCTGCCATTTGCTTTCCATCATCCATAATAAAGAATTTACCTGATTGTTTCATGTGAAACAACTTTAATATTTCTTATAACTCGGAATAATTCTACATTATTTTTTTTTCTTTTCAACATTGGAATTGTGGAGAAATTTGGGGTCAATTCAAAAGAAATAAAATCTTTTTTACTTTTTATTTTGAATCATTGATAAAGAATTATGGTATTTGATTTGGAAAGAAGAAACAAACATGCTAATGACATTTTTTTACAGGCAATTACATTTGAAGCACATTTCAGGAAGTTACTATAAGTTCAGCTCATACAAATTTGTTTAGATTTAGTGTAAGAAATACCTTATTAATGTAATTTAAGAACCTGTTGCTCTATGTTTTATCTCTACACATTCATTGTGGAATGCTAACTTTACTTCTTGTTCTTTTACACTAGCATTTTAACATTAAAGTATGTTTGATGGAACTATCCTGTTTGGATGACTACTTGAAATTATATGTGCTTTACATATGAGTTAGGAAACCAATTTGTATTTTCCACTAATTTCTCTGTCAATTCAGACTCTAAAATTGAGGTCTCCATAACAGGATATTTTAAAGATCTGCTAAATAAGATAGAAAAACTACCATTGAGTGTATGTATGCAAGCCCAAGGCAATCTCCAGAACAGCAAAATGTTTATATCTGAATAAATTAAGAAGCGCTTTTATGTAGTATTTTCAGAATGGAAGTTCCTCGGAGAAAAGACAATGTCTTATTAGGAACACTGTGTCTCAAATTTAAGAGTCTAATTGAGTAGGCATTCAATCACATACTTAATGAAAGAACAATTACTATGAGATTTCTATACCAACTTTGTATTCCTGTAATGTAAGTCCTGGAGAGAATATTTTTATATCATTTATCTGAAGTCCACTGTGTTGCTCAGAAAGCTTTGAAAATACAATGTTGATTTTACCTAATTTGACATAAACACATTTGAATATTAGGTTATATACAGTTGTAATCAATAAGAAATAGTTCCTATGAACTATAAAAGTAATGAATATATGAAGTGAAAGATTAATATTACTTTAGTGTCTAAGAGAAGATATGTTTTGCTTTTATGAGTTTATGATGGCTATTTATCTGATATATATGTGTATATATATCAGGATACAAAATTCATACCTATGATATGGAAAAGATGTAATTATTGTTTGAAATGTTGATATTTGTCTCTAATATTTACACACTTACATCACTGATTAATCTTTTAGTGACTGAGCTGAACTATAAAAATTGTTGGTAACACAAGATTTTTTTGTCTTGAATCATAAAATTTTGTTTTACTTGATTTTTAAAATGATAGCTTCACATTTCTGCTTTAACAGTGGTGCATTCATCACTTTTAAACCTAATAAATTTATTTTAAAATTTACTAAATTTTCATTTTTTTGAATAAATATAGTAGTAAATTTATTTTTTAAATGCTACTGGTAAGTAAT